CCTGGCCAACTATGTCTGGTATCTGCACCTTTCCACAAGTTGAGACTCTAAACTGTACTTTTACATTTTTGCAATTCACCTTCCACCTTTGCAAACATGTTACGTCATGGTTTTTCTATGACATATTTATAAAGCAATTTGGGTCTTCACTTCTACTTAATTTAATCACAAAGCTTTCAAGAGGCCCTACCAGTCCTAGTCATCTGTTCAGCATCAAAACGGAGGCACATGCCATTTCACATGGCTATTTAAAATATTTCTTTTCCCTTCAACCTACATGCTTTACCCATTTTAATAATTAATGCAAGCATCATTCCCTTTACATTCCACAACATTGTTTCTATGTCAAATTTTCATTGAAACATTTAAAATTACCTATTTCAACATACTTTTATATCTAAAAATGAGTTTGTATACAAGAATTATTATTAGCTGCCTTTATTACCTACTTGGAGCAAATAATTATATATTGAGATTGAGAGTGATTTGAGGTCATGCCCTGTTAATGAAGAGCAATCAAATGCTGAGTCAATTTTATCACCAATGGGTTATAAAAACAATTTTTGACTAAAATTTCCAAAAAAAAAGTCAAATGAGAATGTAAATATGTGTTTATCCAATTTTAGGAGCTTTTTCTCACGGCCAGGTTGAGTTTTTTTATTTATTTTTTTTATTTAAAGGTAGTAAACTTCCAAAGAATCATGATAGAACTCATTTTAGATCTCTATTAAGAAGTACTCAGATCGAAGAGCACCACCAAGCCTGCTGCCTTTGCAAACAGTTATCACTCTGAAGGTGCCTCTCTAAAACACCAGGTAAAAAAGAAGTTCTCTGGGCACTTTTAAAAGCTTTCTACATGGACGCCTGGGTGGCTCAGATGGTTAAGCGTCTGCCTTCAGCTCAGGTCATGATCCCAGGGTCCTGGGATCGAGTTCCGCAACGGGTTCCCTGCTCCTTGGAGCCTGCTTCTGCCTCTGCCTCTCTCTCTCTCTCTCTCATTAATAAATAAATAAAATCTTTAAATAAATAAATAAATAAAAGCTTTCTACATATTCATTACAAGCAGCAAGAAGAAGTAACAAAATTAGATGCAATTTCAGATCTGGTTCCCAGAGTTCCACTCCCCTCCTTATGCAGCATCTCAGAAGAATTTCTGAAATGTTCTACCAGGACTCTGCATCTTTATAAACTGTTAAAACAACAGTTTCTAAAGTCAACTATGCCTGCATTCTTTGCTAGCTGGGATCCAAAGTCACTTTCTGATTTCCATTTCTATCACTGCCTCACTAAACCCTTGAGTTTCACAATTACGTTTCCATTTCCCCCAGGTAAGCTTCAGAGCCTCTTTCTTTCCTTTTTTGGAAAACCTGCCATTTCACATAGACTCGAGTTCTTCCCACTTCCTCCTCTGTGTGGAGTTGGGGTGGGATGGTATTTTTACTTACCCTTCTAGGTTTGCTCAGTCACTGATTTGAGTTTGCATTCTTCACCAGACCTATCATTGCTATTTTGCCAATCTGGTTATTTAGACAAAAAACACTAACTAAACTTAAACTACTTGCATTACTCCAGCCAGAAATGAACTCCCCTCTCATCACATCATCAGGGTAATTTTTCTAGGACATTTCTTACTTGCCCAACTAAGTGGTCAGTATTGGCTTTGAAGTGAGAAACATTTTGAATATGCACTACTTTTAGAGCCCCTCAGTAGCTAGCTCAGTGTCATGTGCTAAAAACAAGGTTTAGTAAGTCTTTGGGAACCACAGAGCTCAAAAATCCACCACCGAAAGCTTTATCCGCACAACTCTGTGTAAATGAAAGAGTTCAAGAGACTGTAATAATGACACCAAACAATTGTTCTGTCAATGTGTATAATCAACTGTTGCAAAAATTAACCCTTCAGGTGTCTGTGATGATGTTGACAAGCAACATATTCATATAATTCTTGTAGAGAAGTTATCCAGGGGCACCTGGGAAGCTCAGTCCACTAAGTGTCTGCCTTTGGCTAAGGTCATGATCACAGGGTCCAGAGATCAAGTCCCACATCCTTGCTCCTTGCTTACCAGGGAGCCTGCTTCTCCCTCTGCCTGCTGCTCCCCCTGCTTGTTCTCTCTCTCTGTGTCAAATAAATAAAATCTTAAAAAAAAAAAAGTTATCGAAACAGGCCACAATAGGCAATGAATTATGCTAATAATCCAATTTTAGAGAATATCAACCCATGCCTCTAAAATTTAATAAATTCCATGACAAGTGATTCACCCAACTGGAATCAGTTCACACAGCCTCTGGGATTCCACAAAGCACAAAACACAAGCACTCAGGACTAAATGCTTAGCAATAGCTTATGTCTTAATAGACCTGCTCGACCATACACACGCTCCCCTCTCAAAGTAGAAATAAGAAAAATAATCAATTGAAGTAATGATATGAAGTATAAACAATGAATGTTAAGAATTAATCCATGGAGAAAATACAAAAAACTAACTCTTACTAATACTTTTTAGCAATCTTTTATCAATCTATAAGGGACTTCTGCATATTATAAAATCTTCTTTTTATTTATATTCTTAGAAATCCATTTCCCCCATTAGTCAAGTGAAATATGACATTTATTATTATTATTAATATTATTATTTGGTTATACTTCTTCAATAATAACGGGGATAATTATTAGCTACTTTTTTGAGCCAAGCATTTTAATTACATTATTTCATTTAAGCCTGGAGTCTCCCTCTAAGGTTTGTGGTGTTGCCCCATTTTATAGAAGAGCAAAGTGGTTGAGTGACATAAGTTACTCCTCAAGACCATGCAACTAGCAAAGGCAGGCTAGAGATCTGCCAGAGTACATTTTATGTGTCAGCCTACGCTCTTTCTACCTTACTCCATTTCTCTCCTCAAACATCCTTCTGACCTGACCACTTATGGAACCCTTAAAAGTAACCAGATATTAAAAGTTAAAACCAACTCAAGGACCAATGGTCTCTCAGACACCTATGGACTAATAAAGGCCTGCTTGCTGAAGACCATATACATGTTTTATTTACCTAAACAAATTTCATGGCATTTTTAGTTGTAAAAGTGCCTTGAACTATCTCCCACTATTGAATGACAGAATAGGGAGGAAAAATTTAAGCCAAAACAATAATTTTGCCCAAACGTTATGAGTTCACGCTTATCTTCATAGCTTCAATCCCAGACAGAATGGTCATTATTTAGTCAACAGGCCACCCTACTACTGGGCTTGCTACACCCTAGCTCAACTCTCTGAGAGGAACGGACTGCAAAAAAGAAACTGGCAGAGAGGGCTCAACAGGGAAGCCCATTCTGCATTTTGTGGAACTCATTGAAAGGAAAGGGTTACATTCAAATCCACTAGACATTCTCCTTAGATCTCCCTCCACTCCTTCATCTAAACTTTTTGTCATAATCTCAGCATCAACTTACAAATGTAAAGTTGGCAGAAGTAAGCAAAATTTTTGTTTTTTTCTGTAGAGAAATGCACATACATGCAACACACAAACATGGTGAAGTAGATGCTACATATTATTTCCTCTCTATAATTTGCAAATTCCCTGCAATGACTATGCAAATATTTCACAATGATAAAAATCATACCATCATTTAAACATTTTTTGTCTCCACTTCCAGTGGTTCTTCATAGAAGTCTGCATTACTCTCAACTCTGCTGCATTTTATAAGGCAATAAACAAAAGTAAAACTTAGAATAAGACCAGGGGTGTTTAAGAGTACATGGTAGAAAAAAGAAAAAAAATTTTAATTGGTGTGGTTATTATTTCAGAAGCAAAACAGCTTAAATCCAGGGATAAATAAAAGCATCTCAAAGTCTCAAAAGACCTACTTGGGGCTATTCATAAATTTAATAATTAAGCATGTATAAAAATAATAGATATTTAGGCATTCAGTTCATTTGTAGCCCAAAGTTTAATTTTGAAAAGTAACAAACCAAATTCTTTAAAACTGGCAATACCAATATAAATTAATGGAACAGGTTACTATAATTATATTTTATAAATATTGCATAATTATATTTTATAAATATTTTATATATATTGCAAAATTATATTTTATAAACAGATACCAATAATAATAATAACACTATTGGGTGGCTCAGTCCGTTAAGCATCTGCTTTTGGCTCAGGTCGTGATCTTAGGGCCCTGGGATCGAGCCCTGTCAGTCTCCCTGCTCAGCAGGGTGTCTGCTTCTCCCTCTCCCTCTGCTTCTCCCCCTACTCATGCTCTCTCTGTCCTCTCTCAAATAAATAAATAAAATCTTTAAAAAATAATAATAATATAAAAATAATAACACTATCAATAACAATGCCTGACAATTATTGAATGCTTTCTAGAGATTAGCCAGGGGCTAAGTGCTTTAAATGCACAATCTCTTGGAATTGTCAAAGCAACCCAATGATGAAGGTACTTTCCTTTCTCTTATGCCTATTTCATGGATGAAAAAACTGAGGCTTAAAGAAGCTGAACAATTTAAGCAAACAGTAGCATTGGAATGCAAAGTCCATTCTACCTTAAACACTATGCTAAAACCAAAATGTCTTCATACCGTTGAAATCAGTTAAATTGGCTTCCAAGATCAACACCTTTGGAGACAGTCATCTTCTCAGGGATGGGCCAAAATTTGGCAATAATAGAAACTTCACAAAATAGATAAACTTATGAAAACTCAGGCAATTTAGAAGAGAGGAGATTATTACAAGTAAATGTTCATTCCCAAGACACCAATCTTACTCATTAGAAAATCTTGAACACCTTAATGAGTAGAAATTTGACCAAAGATGTTCCCTGATCCCTTTTTGGAATCTAGGATTCTGAATGAAAAAAATCTTCTGTGTTCTTCTTTATTGTCCATATATTTCATGATATCACATAAAACAGGTTATGTGGGTATTTGGGGAAAGTATGTATGTAAACCGTAACTTTCCAGTCACACTAAGAGTACAAAACTTTATAACTTTGGACCATACCTTGGTTTTCATGAACTTGGAGTGACTTTTGTAAACCTCTATTTGTTTGATCTCTTCTTCGCGGTCCTCAGTGTTCAGCACACCATTGGCTTTTAACATCTGGATCTCATCCTCCAGATCCCTTATGTTTCGCTCCAATGAAGCGATTTTTGTGTCCTGTTGTTAAAAAAAAAAAAAATGGTGTAAAAAAAAAAAAGAAAGAAAGAAAAAATTTTTTTTCAGTACCATCAAAACAGAATTCCAGAAAGTAATTTGGGTAGTAAGACATTAACTATGATACAGGCATAACCCTTAGTTCAGAACAATTTATTTTTTTCACTTTTGAGGATCATTTGTGAGATTACTTTTTAAGCTCTCAATAAAGATCATGTGACAATACAATATGGAGAGTTGCCTAGATATGTTTGTCTATGCCTGGTAATCAAATTATCAAAGCAACAGTGACAAAAGTGATCTAAAGTGTTAAAATATACCATTTAAGTGGACAAATTTGTAATTTCAGATATAGTTTACCAGCGTACAATTTCTAGTCTACTTGTAAACACAAAAACAGTTTGTTCATGTGTATACTCTGTGCATGGTTTTATAAGGCAAGCTTGGAATTTGACTCTGAGAGATAAGGAAATTAAAATCTACTAATGAGGAAAAGAATTCTCATCTAGAATACAGACATCAATGAAATTAAATAACTGAATCCTGACTTAGTATGACTGATATATTAAATATTGAAAATTTATAGCAACTGGAAATAATATATCACAACGTCATGATTTATTTGGCGAGCAGCTCCCTGCATGACAAAAAACATTTCTACTTTGCAGGGCATTTCTAATCTATTGACTTTCAGAGTTGAAAAAACTAGAAATATTACACTCAAATGTGAGATTGAGAAAAAAAAAAACAACCACAGGGAATTTTTTTAAGGAAATGACAGACTATACACACAAGATAGAGCATAGTAAGAAATGATGCATTAAAAAGAAAAGAGAGAGCTCTTGTAAAGGAAAAAATCTTTCCCCAACCTGAGGTGTTAAACTCCAACCAGTCTTTGGAATAAAATACATTGAAAGTTTGACTGTAAGTTTCCTCCCTGACACCATGTACCTGCCCTTTTATGGTACAGATCCAAAGAGCTGATATCACATTTGTAATTGAATGTTAATGAAAAACAAACCATTAACTCTTTTTTTTTTTTTTTTTTTTTTACCAATTCATTATCAGGAATCTAGAAGACTAAAGAGTTCCAAAAGTAAAAACAATGGATGGCCTATTCTATTTAGAACTAACTCATAGGAAAAACTTTGCAAACATCTGTCCTGATTTTGTGGCTATTCTCCATTTTAATTTCCTATATTCTATTGTCGATGGCATGTCTCATGGGGCAATATAATAATCATTGCTATTATCATTTAACATTGTCATCATCATTAAATGGAGGAAAATGAGGAGAAACAACTTCTTAATTGAGTGCCACTACGTGTGAACATCCAAGAGCTCCAAGTGTTGAAGACATTTTTATTAATTCTCAGAAAAAACCCAAGAAGAAGAAATAAAAAGATTCTGAAATCTGCAAGATTATTATGGAATGTTATATTCTCTAGCATTTCATTTTCCTTTAAAAATAATATTTATTGTTATTTTTTCCAGTTATAAAAATAATGGCACCTTAAATTCCTAGAAAATGGAGAAAATCACCTCTAAACCTACCATCAAGAGATAACCATCACTCATGTTTTAGGTAGAGCCAGCTAGTCTTTTTCTATTCTAGATGCAATTTCTAGAAATCCTGTATACTGCCAGTTTGAGTGAAAGGAGTGTATCACAGACTAAATGTCTACATGCCTCCAAAATTCCTATGTTGAAGCTCTAACCCCTAATGTGAAGGAAATGTGATGGTATTTGGAGATGAGGCCGTTAGGAGGTGATCAGGGTTACATGGGGTCATGAGGATGAAGCCCTCATAAGAAGAAACGCTAGAGAGCTTCTTTATTCTCTCTTGCTCCCTGCCATGTGAGGACACAGCAAGAAGGTGGCCATCTGTGAGCCCGGAAGAGAGCTCTCACCAGAACCCAACCCCACTCTCGCCCTGATCTGGGACTTCCAGCCTCCAGAACTGTGAGAAAATACATTTCTGTTTTTTTAAGGCACCTAGAAGTGGTATTTTGTTATAGCAGCCCAAGCTGATGAAAGTAGGAAGGCATCTTTAGTGACTCTTTTGAGTTCTGAGCTATGAGAACTCTGTAGACAAAAAGAGCAGCAATAATAAAAAAGGATGCAGAAAAAGAACTTCTAAACATTCATAAGAGCCTTCTTAAATAAATGGCAGTCATTTTAAATCAGCATTTTTTTCTGACTATAAAATTAAGACATGCTCACTATAGGACGCCTGGGTGGCTCAGTCAGTTAAGCGGCTGCCTTTGGCTCAGGTCATGATCCCATGACCGTGGGATCAAGACCCACATCTGGCTCCCTGCTCTGCAGGGATCCTGCGATCCTGCTTCTCCCTCTCGCTCTGCCTGCAGCTTCCCCTGCTTGTGTGCTCTCTCTCTCTCTCTCTGTGTCAAATAAATAAATAAAATCTAAAAAAAAAAAAGAAAAAGAAGACATGCTCACTATAGAAAACTTGAAAAGCTATGTAGATAATTATGACTGTACATAATCCCATCACCCAGATATACCCACTATTAACACTTTTATTTATTCCCATGAAAGCCTTAAGATTATATTACTTTAAAACATATAAAAAGATAGTTATCAATTAAAACTCTAATCAAGGGGCACCTGGGTGGCTCAATTGATTAAACGTCTGCCTTCAGCTCAGGTCATGAGCTCAGGGTCCTGGGATAGAGCCCCACACTGGGCTCTCTTCTCAGCAGGGAGTCTGCTTCTCCCTGTCACTCTCCCTTTGTACTCTCCCTCTCTCTCAAATAAATAAATAGAACCTAAAAAAAATAAAATAAAATAAAAATAAAACTCTAATCGATATGACAGAGATTTCCTCTTTTTGAGATACAATCTTTCCGCATTTACAAAGATCTAAGTACGTACAATCTTTACAAGAGTTTAACTGTAAGTTAAGTGTAAAAGGAAGAACCTACATCTGTGCTATTCTAATACAAAATCTTCTGGGATTTCAGACCCAAGTCTAAAGGAAGCATTTTCGTATGTATGTATGTATGCACACATATACATGTATAAAGACATGTATGTGTGCAACATGCTTTGTGGTCCTCATGTTTTACACCTTAATTTTTGATACACTTAGAATTTCAGGTCTCAATAACATAAGGTGGGGGGTGGGGGGGTGGAGTGTACCCTCAGCTTTCCCCTCAGTCAAATCCTGAGGCTTTAGTTAGCAATGACCACAATCGCCAGCTTCTAACTGGGTTAGAAGGAGCTTTTTACCACACTTTAAAAAATTACATACTGCTAAAGAAAGATCAGAACAGGGTTAAGATAGAAAGTTTTGTAACAAAAAAATTATGACCTATATGCGTCTGAGTTAAAATTTCACCAAATAGTGAAACACATTTTAAAACTAATATTTTTAACTTTTACTAATTTCCTTAAATTAACCAACTTTTCTTTTTCCTCACAAGCTTTTTTTCCCTTTAGCCACAGGTATCCCAAAACACTAAAAAAAAGAAAGGGTGGGGCGTGTTGTGGAAGTCACTTTAATAATGATCTATTTTTTCCTGTCCTTATTTATGTTTCTGTTCTTTAAGAAGTCAAGTTTAAAGACAACAGAACTCAGACCTGAAATCTTGAGCATAGAGAAAAGGAGATAGGAGAGTATCATTAAGATCTAGAGAAGAGAGCAGATACAAAATACATAGATATATCAGATGGTGTATTGACTGTGCCCGAGAAGATACTCAAAATGCTGAGGCAGAGAAAGACATGAAGAAATCCAAGTATGAAATATAAAGGTAAATAAAATGACTGCCATGGTCACAGCTACTCTACTACCTCAGTTTGAGGAATTCAGGGAGAAGAAATTTCATCTTTTTCTTTTTTTTCAAATCTCTAAAACTAAGATGAATTACTATAAACTTCTATATTTAAGGAGAACTATGGAAGGCAACCACCTCACAGTTCCTAATATGGCTCAATGTGGTACATGGATGCTGCCCTTCAAAACTGAGGCTAACTGCACATCTCAAGAACTCTTAAGCACTGATCTAGAGTGAAGACATAATGCTGTAACATCCTGAAAAGTGAAGTTTCAGAAGGGAGAGCAATATTTACTCCCAATCACCAGAGTTTTCTTCATCTGAACATCTTCACATGTTACTTACCACTGATACTTTAAAATAATTTATGTAGTGATTTTCAAGAATTCATTTTGATTATGTTTCACAAATAAGCAAACTCTCAAGCAGATCATTGTGGGCCTTCCTTGGAGATGGAGAGAGTGAAATACAACATAGAACAGCTTTTCCCAAAATCCACAGAACACAAAATCTCTGTGAAAAGGGCATTGTAGGGTCAAATAAGTTTGAGAAATACTTACTGGGGATTCCCTACACACATTAGCATTAATGGCTCTGGAGAAGTTCTGTAGCAAAGTATTCTACTTAATTTGATTTTTCCCAGTATTATTCCTCTAGAAGTCAATTCTTAAAAAAAAAGGGGGGGGGACTTTAATGGCCACATTTAGCTCAGGGTTATATACTAAAGTGAAAAATCAAAACAGTGATTTGGATTCTTCAAGGGAAAACTTACCATCATTAGCCTCCATTTAAAGTAATTAGGTGCTTAAATATCCAGATCACCTTGTTGGCTTCTGTAACTCAAAAGTGGTTTACTGAGAGCCTGCTCTGAGCTCAGAGAACATAGACTCCCATGCTCTCAGAACCTACCACTCCATGCCTCAAGTAACATTTTTCAAATAGTCTTGAGACAGGACAACCATGAAATTGTTTTGCTTTTATACAGTATTTTCATTAAGGACTGTAAGAATGTGGGACATAAAGTTTAAGCAGGAAAAAAAACAGCTGAAATGTGTTTGCTCATTCCCTATTAGAAAAAAAATCTGAATTGAATATCTTTCAAATCATTTCTTTCCACACATTCATAAAATAATACTTGTAAAAATTTTCTTTTTTTTAAGATTTTATTTATTTATTTGACAGAGAGAGACACAGTGAGAGAAG